TTACTTGGTACCCAGGTTTGCTCCATTGGATTTTAGTCATTTATTCTTTCCTCTTTGAAATGCAAAGTTCACTTCCTTTAGCTTTATGGCAACTGAAGTTCCAACATGTACATTTAGGCTACAAAACCACTATGGAGTTTTGCTTTCTAGAGAAATAGAAAAAAGAAATACAAAACAAATGAAAATTATAGTGGAAAATATTCTATTCCCTAGTCTTTATTTTAATTCCTGCTTCATCATGAGGTAGTATGTAACAAAAGATAACTTGCATCTTTAAGCTACCACAATGTTTTTTAAAGGTAGAAAAATTGGAATTACGAAGTCGTCACAATTGAAGTGTGAAAGACTACATCTTGCTGATAGACAAGCCTGTCTGTTTTAGCTGCATGTGAGATGGTGGTGGTGGTGGGGATGGGATGTCAATAACATCAAGCTGCTAGATAAAAACACCTAGAACATTAGTTGATGAAAAGTCAGATGCAAATGAAGCTCACCATCATCAATGTATCCTGTACTGACATCACAGAATTTTCAAGCATAGCAAGTGTAAAATTTTTAAGTAAAATTATTGATGATAAAAATAGTAATTAGACAATCCAGAGGCATTTTTCTAGTAAAAATGCTATTATGACAATTTGGAAAATTTTCTCATCTATGCAGCAAAAACCAAACTAGCTAATTTGCTGTTATCATCTGAGATGTTTTTTTGAGGGGGCAGCCTGGTATCTTGGAACATGGGTCACTGTTGAAAATAAAAGCCTTTCACACAGATTAAAAACTCTCTATGATTCTGTATACTGGGAACCTAAGTGAACAGTACCTTTAGTGTAAGAGTTCTGAAGTCATAGGACAGTGTTGGTGCTCTCTGGGTGGGAGGTGGGAGGAGGGATGCTGAGGACCTTTGTCACTGTACATCAGAAGGTGTTAGTAGATGGGACAGACTTTGTGTGAGTCATATGGTGAGGGGAAAGCAGCGTTACCTTAGGATTAAAATCATCATACTCAGACACAACTAGAAGGAACCCACATTCAAGGTGATTACAGCTGGGAGAACATTAGACCTACGTACAAAAAAAAAAAAAAACAAGTAGACAGAGAGTACAATGTCTATGTTAATCATAACCTTGAGAGACCAATGAGACACAACTCCATGCCTGCAAGACTTTTTTCCTGGAGCAGAAAAACTTCAGAGAAGTAATGAGTCACCTTCAAAATAAACCACCCTCTGCTTCTGATGCTGCAAGCTGCTTTGCCATGAATGGTTCAGCAAGTCACTGAATAGCTGCAGATACCCACAGAGTGGAAGGGGCATCACTCTGCATGCAAAGGGAGGGTGGAAAATGGAGGTGCAGACTGTGGCTAAAAGCCCGTACCTACATCAGACCAGTATTTAAATAGGCAAAAAGTCTACATATTTGCGGATGTGTGTATAAGTGCGTGATTACATACATATACACACTTCTGAATACAGACCAAACTATCTTTGGAATGATGATTTCCGTTTGGAATGGAATATCTGGTTGACTGGGAACATTCACTTTCATTACAAAATGATTATTTTAGGCTTGTGCTCTCAGGTCACATGGAGGACATGCAAATAAAAATAAGGAAGTAAACTGTAGAGAAATGTTCAGAAATGAGCATCGTGTCTGCTACATAAAAGCCATGCGTGTACAGGCTGTCTTCACAGAAACCAGAGTCTAAGATTCACCCAGCCTCTGCTCAGCCAGGCCAGGAGCACCCTCATTTCCCCCACGGCCCTCCTGCTCCCTCTCCTGGCCTCCCTGGTGATGTGCAGCTGTGTTCTGTTGGATCTCTGGGCTGTGAGCAGCCTCAGAGCTCTCCCAAGCTTAGCAGGAAGACTTTTGTGCTCCTGGGCCAACTGAGAAGTCTCCTCTTCCTCTTGCAGGAGTGACAGAAGAGACTTCCAGTTCCCAAGGAAGATGGTGGATGGCATCCAGTCCCAGAGGGTCCAGGCCATGTCTTTCCTCCAGCTGAGGCTCGGGCAGATGCCATCCTCCAACCCTTCCCCACAGAGAGCTCCTCTGACAGCAGCCCTCCTGGACAAACTCCATGCTGAATTAATTACTTCAGCAACTGGAAGACCTGGTTGGGGAGGTGATGGAAAGGGGAAGGTATGACCTACAAATGCCCTTGAGATAATTCAGGGAAATCCATCTCTGCCTGAAAGAAAACAAATACAGTGACTGTGCCTGGGAGATTGTCGGGTGGAAATCACTCTCTTGATTTCCTTCTCTGGAAGAAGAATGTTGCAAAGATAGACCTGAGGTCTTCTGGGAACCATTCTTCTTGGGTGCTCTGACACCTCAGACTTGGACATCTACCTGTGTTATTCCAAGTGGCTCCTATTTATATTTTGGTCATATTTGATTTATATGAATTTAGGAAATACTTTAATAATGTTAAACACACACATACAAGACATATATTCAGTAATTTCTTAGAAATTATTTACTGATCTATTTATTTATTCATCTATCATCAATTTGTTTATTTCCACAACTTTTTCATGTGTTGTGTTTTAAGATTTAAGTATTTCCATGTAATAGCAAACGTATTGTCACATTTATCAACATGTATAAAACTTACTTTTTTATATTAGTTAGCATTTTGTTTTATTTAATTTAGATAGTTAAAAACTTATATTATGATTTATTGAAAGCAAAATCAAAACTTGTTCTGTGAACCAAAATAAGAAAGAATGCTGAGACTTACTACTGTTACACATGTGAATTAAATATGCAGCTGTTTGGGGGTTGACGTTAAGAAATAAAGGTGGAAAAGCAAATGGTTCTTGCTGTTTGGACGTCTCGGTGTTAAGGGAAAGAGACAAAAATGTATTCATGTTCTTTCAATTGTCACAAATGATATAGAGAGAAGTAAATGTGGTGATATATTGTGTACCCTAATAAACTTGTCTGAGGATCAGAGCACAGAGCCAGCCACTAGGTTAGACATAGAGGCCAGACAGGTGACACACATCTTCAGTCCTATCACTCGGGAGGCAGAGATCTGCCTGAATCTCTGTGAGTTCAAGGCCACACTGGAAACAGAGTCAGGCATTGGAGGCACACATATTTAATCCCAGTACTGGGGAGCACACACGCCTTTAATCCCAGGAAGTGATGGCAGGGTGGAGAAAGGTATATAAGGTGTGAGGAAACAGGAACTAAAACAGTTCAGCTGAGATCCTTTCGGTTGAAGACTCAGAGGATTGTATTCAGAGGTTTCATGGAGTTGGTGAGATAATAGGTGGTGGCTGTGGCCTGGGCTGCTTCTCTGATCTTTCAGCTTTCACCCAGTATCTGGCTCTGTTTTGTTTTATTTTGTTTTGTTTTGTTTTTTAAATAAGAACATTTAACATTTGAAGAACAAGTAAGGGAGCCCTGTGGTCCCACAGCAGATGGTGTAGGTATGAATAATGCTGAGAGTGATTTAAATAGCCAACTAGATTTCCTTTGTAAGTTGCTTTGGAGAAAATAAAGTGTACTTCTAAAAATGAAAAATACATACCTGATAAAATTCCTGGAAAATAACTGCAAAGCAATATTTAAATGCAACACCATAAGATATAGGAGAATACACAAACATGGAAGACAAAATCAGGGAAGCAATACCCAGAGTGAGTAAAGTATTTATTGAAGAAATGAAGATTATGAAAAAGACTAAAATAGAAATACTGCAATTAAAGAACTTCATGAGCCAAATAGAGCCCAGCCATGGGCCTTAGGAACAGATGAGTCAAAGAAAGAATACAGAAGAATTTCTAACCTGAAGTGATAAGGGAGACTATTACCTGAACAAATATCTAAATTATGTATATTCCAGAAGATCAAGAGAAAAGTGAAAAAGGCAAGTCAATGAACATTTCCTTCATGTTTGAAACAATATGGACATCTAAGTTCATTCATGATTTCCACCCCCCCCCCCCTGAATAAATCTGAACAAAAAAGAATTAAAAATAAAACAGTCAAGAGAAGCATTGAGGCATTTAAGGAAAACCCATTAGGCAATGGCAGGCTTCTCAACAACATCCTTACAGGCCAGGCCCTCCTAACCCCTAAACACCCTACTAACTAGGAATACTATGCCCCCGTGCTGGCTAGATTTATGTCAACTGGACAAAATCTGTAGTCATCTGAGAGGAAGAAATCTCGATTGAGAAAAATTCCTCCATAAGATCAGGCCATGGGCCAGCCTGTAGAGCATTTTCTTAATTATTGATTGAGGGTGGGAGTGTTCAGCCCATTGTGGGTGGGTCTATACCTGGGCTGGTGGTCTTGGATTCTATAAGAAAGCATATTGAGTGGGTCATGGGGAGCAAGCCAGTGAGCAGCACCCCTCCATGGCCTCTGCATCAGCTCCTACCTCTATGTTCCTGTCCTGTTTGAGTTCCTGACCTGACTTTCTTCAGTGATGGACTACAATGTGGAAGTGTAAGTCCAATAAACCCTTGCCTTCCCAACTGCTTTTTGGTCATAGTGTTTCATCACAGCAATAGAAACCTTAACTAAGACAGCCTCCAAGAGCTAGCACTCAGAAATGGAAAAATAAAATTTCCTAAGACAAACATGAGCTAACATTGACACTAAATCAGTATTAAAACAAATTTGTTTTCTTTTGTTTATCTGGGACAGGGTCTTTCTAATATATAGCCCTGGCTGTCCTGTGACTTGTTATGTAAACCAGGTTGGCTTCTAACTCACAGAAAGAGATCATCCCAACTGCTGGGATTAAAGGTCTGCACCACCACCCTGACCCTAAAGTAAGTTCTTAATGGTTTTATCCATCTGGAAGTGGAAGGGTAATGGCTACCATCATGAAAACACAAAGGAGTAAAAATTATTGGTCAAGAGATACACAAATGAAAAAGAAAAAAAATATTTATCACTTTAGAAAACCACAAATCACAACTATAAGTTCTAAGAATGATGAAAGGAAGACATGGTGTGTAGGACAACCAGGAACCAATCATTAGCTTTGTCTGCTTTTGTGAACCACGGTCCTACAAACAATCATGGTTCAGGTAATGCCGTTTGTTGAGACAAGTCAGCAACTCATAAAGGACCTGGTTGCTCTGTCTAAAAGATCCACTCAGCCTGGTAGAAAGGAGAAGATTGCCATGGCCACAGCATTAGAGTTTTCTGTCATGGTATTCATTGGCTTCCTTGTGAAACAGATCCACTTCCCAATAAATAGCATTAATGCGGTGGTTGAATACTTTTGCATCTTGGGAACTAGTGAACAAGTGATGGTGTGAGAAGCGTGTGAAGTAAAAATTTGCCTGTATGTTTTGTGTCTTTCTTTTCTTTCTGATGTGGGATGACCTTCTATATGCTGCAAATAGGTGTTGCTTTTATTGGTTGATAAATAAAGCTGCTTTGGCCTATGACAAGGGAGAATATAGCTAGGCAGGAAAGCCAAACTGAATGCAGGGAGAAAGAAGGGTGGGGTTGAGGGAGTCGCCAGCAGCCACCAGAGGAGAAAGATGCCAGAGCATCACCGGTAAGCCACAGGCCACATGGCAATATGCAGATTAATAGAAATTAATACACATATTAATAGAATTACTAGAAAAGCCTCTGGCTACACCTTTCCTCCTTCTAAGATGTTTTCTATTTTTAAAATTAAAATAATTTTGTAAAAACAAAATTTTCCATTAAAACATATTTGAAATGTAAGAGTAAATTCTCACTTATGAATAACAACCTTCAAAACAAATGTGTTAAATCCTCCAGGTAGAAGGCACAGAGTTGACTGGATGAATTAAACATCAAACCTGGTGTTGTCAAGGTGGCTCAGCTGGTGAAATGTTTGCCACGCAACCATTAATAACCATGTTTGACATCAGCTATTAGCAAAGCTGGGTACTGTAGGTCCCTGATGGTAATCCCAATCCCAGGTCACTGCAGATCCTGGTGATTTCCTGATCAGGCTGTCTAGCCAAAATGGCATGCCCCTCAAGGAGAAAGCTGGAGAAAAGGAGAGTGGATGTGTATAAGGAAGATGTCTGATGTCAACGTTCATATATACGTGTATAAACTGCGTGTGATCCTCTGATGCTACCTGCCTTTCAGTTAACTGCTGTTGAAATAGACAGATCAAGATGGTAGCCCCCATATGGTAACATTTCTACCTCACAGGCATTCTAGCATCTCCCTAGATGATTTACCTTTGATGGAGGTGACAGAGGAATGGTGTCTGGGCTGTTTGGACTCTCGTGTAAGGATTTCCATCTACCAGGGAGTGTTAATAGCTCCATTACCACAGCTGGTCACCTCTGTATTATTCTGCCCAAGATGGCGTCATGTTGTGTCCTGAAGAGAAAGCATCCACACAACAAGGGGCCAGCCTCACTTCAGGGAGCCAGCCAACGAACAGGCTAGATTGCGTACATAGTCTACACCCCATCGCTCTATCCTCTCTTTTTATCTTCTCTCTCCTTCCCTCCCTACTCTTCCCTGCTTTATTTTCTTCTGCAGAAGAACAAAGGCTGACCTGGCTTGCTGCCGGATCTTCAGCCTCTTCAGAGCTGGGATACGTCGTGAGACTGCGTATCTTCCTCTCTTTGCAGTTGAACCTCAGCCAACACTGCCTCATCTCCCTCCTTTACCACCACTGTTATGTTATGAAATTCCAACCAGAAGGACTGAGGCTGGCACCTGGAGAAACGTGGAACCAAGCTCCTGCTTTGTAAAGGTCCAGCAGTCCCCAGCAGTTTTTTACAGCTTGGACAGGTTAGGCAACAGTGTGACCGTCTGAGGGTGCTCTCATGCCCAACCAAAGGATTGTTTTTAAAAACACAGTTAGATAGATGTTTGCAGGAACAAGCAGTTGCAGGTAGTAATGAAAACATCCAAACATTTGAAGATAGCAATGGCATTCTTTTCTTAGCAAACAGGGTCTGCAGTGTGACCTTCAACCACATAGCTGTGATCATCATTCCGTAAGGCCGTTTCGTGCTTTGTCATCTGAAGGTAAGGGGCAAGGGTTTAACTTTAACTTATTTCCTCTTTTACTTAATCCTACAGTTTCTAGGTAAGGATTGCTACAGAGCAGTAATGTGATTTTTGTTAGGTGTGTATATAAAGAATGCATGATATACATATACATATACATATACATATACATATACATATACTCATACACATACATATACATTTCCCACACGCTATGATGCTCTCTTCTGTGTATATTTCCTTCACCTTTTTTCTGTCAACTCAATACTAGTCAGCAGTATTTTTTTGTGTGTTTTTCATTGTTACTGTTGCTGTTTTCATTTCCTTTCCATTGCTGTATAAAGTAATTAGTGTGTGTGCACACTATTATCAGTGACCCTTTGCATCCTACAACTATCCACGCTTAAGAGGTGGGTAAGCTTTGATTTTACTATTAACTTATTCTCGCTGCGGTCCTACCCTTTGATATTGGTTGTTTTTTTCAGACAATATTCTCACTGCGGAGAGCACTAGGGATCTGTCCCTGGGCCCCAACTGTAAGAACGTGCTTGTTAGGATATAGCTGAAGCTTTGCAGAGGCTCCTCTCACAGTCATCACTGGGACGTTGTGAAGCCCATGCTGCTAGCAGACTTGCCCAAGTCACTTCTCCCCTGGGGAGTGAGTCTACACCAGAACTCTGCATCCTGTTCCCCACTCCCTTCATTGCCCCCTGTGTGGAAATCAGAGAGCCCGGCTGCAGCCTCCTGCTATGAATCTCTCCTAATCCTAAAAAGACATGAGAAGAGGCTCCTTGTTTTGCCTACTGGGCCCCCATTATCTTTAGAGACCCCGTTATGATGTCTTCTGTGTTGGGGTCTCACTCTAGTTTGCTTCTGTGTTGCTGTGATAAAACTTTGGCCAAAACAACTTAGGGGATGGTGGCTATTCCATTATACATGGAAGTCAGGGAAGGACTCAGGAAGGGAATCTGGAGACAGAAACTGAGCCAGAATTCATGGAGGAACGTTGCTTACTGGCTTGCTCAGCTTCCTCTTTTAATACAACCTAAGACTAAATGTCCAAGGAGTGGCACCACCCACAGTGAGCTGGGCCCTCCTGAATCAAGAAAATACTCCATAGCCATGTCCACTGTGGCCAGTCTGATGGAGGTTGGCCAAAAATACCTCAGGTTCTGTCTTCCCAGGTGACTCGAGTTTGTGAGTTTGTGCCAAGTTGGCAAAAACTTACCAGCACAGACTGAAAATCTCCTTTGAACTTCTGGCATGCTGTTGTCCATCTATCTGTCCATCTATGTCGTCCAATAAACTCTTTAGTCCCCAGTAGCCTCAGTGTCCTCTTGAACTCCCTGCATCACATCCAAACCTAACACAAGCAGCTTGTGTGAAAGAAGACAACACCGTCTTCCCATAACAACTCAGAGCGAACACTCGATTCCAAGAGAATAATAGTGGTTTAAAATAAATGAGTAAATGAATAAATTTAAAACAAATAACAAATAAACAATCTTACCAGGCCACAGTGTAACTCAGGCCACAGTACCTGCAGCCTATCTCCTCTTCCCAGCCCTGATAGGACCCTGCTGACAGTACCATCTAGGAATTTCTAGCTAACAGGTTTCCATTTGCCCAGGTGTCTCCCTTGGGGGGGAAATGAATTTGCAGGCACATCAAAGAGGTACTGGTGGCCACACAATCTGCTAGCCACCCACTTGCCAGCTGCCTTGCTGGGGGAGGCCGAGAGCTTAGCTGTCAGCTTCTGCTGTGAAACCTCCCCCTTCCACAGAGAGCTATCCGGGTACAGACTCCGTCACATGGGCCTGATTCCACCTCAGACCACATCCTTTCCCATGCTTTCTGTCTCTGGTGTCGGGGCATGCATTCTTAGAGCCCACGCCACGCTATTGTCTGCTTGTACATGTGTCTATGACATTAATAACCCTTCTAATAAACTTCTGACCCCCAACAACTCATCCCAGTGCCCACCCAAAACACCATACCCAGGCATGATGGAGTCTTGAAAATCAAAGCAAAAGAGAGACAACGAAGTTGGGTTGACCCCGGCCTTTGTCATCTCAGCTGCTGTTCTACCAAGTCCACGCCACAGCCTCTCTTTCGTGGTAAACCCCACAGCCGTTTCAGTTCTCACTTTCCTTAATAATCAGCCTGCACCTCAGCTGTCTCCAAAGTATCAACTTTGCATATCCGACCTTTTTATTTCTGTCCAAAGATTCTTCAAGTGGTGCTACTGAGATGATTGAGTTAATATTTCAAATTATTTTAGATTGGTGGATGGGCATATTTAGCTTACAATCATTTTCTCCATTTTCATTTTTAGAAATATCATCACTGTTTCCCAGCTTAGGAATAGATTGTTGTGGGGTCTTCTAATTCCCTTTCTCCAAATTCTGGGCTTCTTTGCAGGGCAGTGTTTTCACTGCCCATGAGTAACTCGGTGGAATCCTCAGATGAGGCATTATCCTGCCTGACTGGGTTAGTGTTCTGGTGATCTGGGTCAGGTTGTCAGTCTCCTGTGTGTTGGTTGGTTTGACCTCTTCCTCCCCTCACCGAAACTGATTGTATCTGGCTCAAACTAAAGATCATCACCCGGAGGGTCTTCCAGGCTGAGGGCCGGTCACTGAGTCCGAGGCAGCTTGTAGCTAGAGTATTCCTGTGTCCCAGCCTGCCGGCAGTCGGGACAAATCTCTCCCACTCATGTCTCCCAAGTAAACACGCAGAGACTTATATTACTTATAAACTGTATGGCCGTGGCAGGCCTCTTGCTATCTGTTCTTACGTCTTAAATTAACCCATTTCTATAAATCTATACCTTGCTACGTCGCTCGTGGCTTCCTGGTATCTAATATCAGGCTTCTCCTCGTGGTGGCTGGCAGCGTCTCTCTGACTCAGCCTTCTTCCACCCAGCATTCTCCTCTCTGCTTGTCCCACCTACACTATCCTTGCCTGGCTACTGGCCAAGAAGCGTTTTATTTATCAATCAGTCATAGCAACATATATTCATCGCATACGGGACATCCACAGCAGCAGCTCTCTGTGTCCTTCTCAGAAACAGCCATCTTTGTGCTTCACAGGTCTCAACATTACTCTCCCCGACTCCTCCCCCCGTAGCTCTGGCTTTTGATAATGCTTTGCCCTTTTTTTTTTCCAGAGGAAAGCTGCTTCCTTTTTTCATTTTCATGATATCTGGACTTATATTTGTTTTCTCTTTGCCCACAACCTACTGGAGTTTTTCTTTCTATGAAAGTCAAAATAAAAAATTCCATCTTGAAAAGTATAAAGGAAAATGACCCAACCCTTTGCCTCTCGAGCACTCCATTTATTCTGCGTTAACCTCAGGATAACACAGGGAATGATGTAAGAGCAGCGTGACATGCCTAACCAAAGCACCACTATGTGAAAATAACCCACAAAATATATTATGTTACTGTTATTTACATTTAAAACAAAAATAACCATGAATGAAGGAAAGAATCATTCTTGCTTTCGTTCATTCAATCATTCATTCATGATTTTTTTTCCATGTTAGTCTGGGTGTCCTTTAGTGTTAGAATGAGTCACAGACAAATAAACCAAAGAGAATCAATTATCTTTAATTGATGAACAACTGAAGGCCACTAGTTTCTCTACTATAAACTTAAGTTTTAAAAAGGAATGTTTTGAAACTTCTTGGAACTTTTTTCCCCAGTATTTTAATTTACTTACCAATCTTAGTCAAGCACAAACTAGCTAGAGTCAAGTTAAATCAAGTGATTTTTCAACCAAATAACCTCCAAGCTTACTAAGCACAAGAACTGACTGCGTGAGGACAAGAGATCTTAAAATCCTTTTTGTGTGTGTGATGCCGGCTGTATCTTATCCTACACCAATCTACTGTTGTGATATAAACTTCTAATGAGAGACATTGTCACCTATGTGGCCAGCTCACAAACTAAAGTGATGGAATTGTTCAATCATTACCTAAAAGAATCCAACCACAAAAGCGATATGTAGAAGAGTAAAAACATGGCTATTGAATGTAGAGATTGTAAAGCGGGGGTTGTCCCTTTATCTACTCAGACAAAACAAATGTTCGCTGTCACCTTCTGAAGGCGGCTGACATCTTCGACAGCCAGGGTCCTGTCAAAGGCGAAGAGACGGTTACCACGAGGTCCGAGCTCCTCCAGGCAAGCGTTATAGGGTCAGAGGCAAAGATCTAGAGAGTACCATTTCCCCAACAAAGCAACACATCCCTTTCAGGAAAGCTGGGAGAATTGCTAGATGTGATAAACACCTTGGGGAGTGGATTTTGGTGGAGCCGAGGTCACTGGAGAAGTAGAATCTCCACAGCCACAAGCATCTGGAAAGGATGTGGGCTGGTACCAGGATTTTTGGGACAGGAGGAGGAGCATCATGGACCTCAGTAAGAAAATGGTGCGCAGAGGGTGATGTGCTAATCCCAACCTTGTAGCCCCCTTGAACCACAGCCACATGGCCCTGAATGAATGCGGTGAAGGAGAGAACCTCCAGAGAAGTCCACTCACCGGCAGCCAGCAGGCTCTGCTGTGAACGAGACAGTGGACAAAAGTTCCATCCTACGAAGTTTACTTTGACACAGATAGTGTGTTAAATCCCTGCCCATTTGGGAGGCCGAGGCGAGAGGATCCCTGCAAGTCCTAGGCCAACTGCAGCCTCTGAGTGAGATCTTGATTTAAAAAACAAAACAACAAAACGGCCACCCAACCACAACAGTATAAATCTCTAAACAAATACAGGAACCCATAAGGTGAGACTTTCTAGGTCCAAGTGGAGGTGAGAATAAGGACCCCAAAGCTTTTCACAGGACAAGACACATGTGGAATAAAAGTGATGCAGTGTGTGAAAGCGTGCTTGTGATCACACACACACACACACACACACACACACACACACACACACACACACACACACACCTGGCCTCAAGCTCAGTGTACTTCTCATTGATGGATAAGTGTCCATTTGAATTGACATAGCTGAAATTTACTGGAAATATTAACTTTAATAACGCAATCATGAATGGATGTCATTGTCTTAGCCCATGGAGAAAAAAAAATCACAAATGAAAGCAAAGTTTAGAGAAATGTTCAGAAAATGCAAATTGCGTGTTCCCCGTTTAAGAGCCATACACGCACAGGCTGCCTTTACAAAGAATCCAAAGCCTCTCCTCCCCACACCTATCTCCTGCCCCTCAACCAGCGTCCTTTTCCCCACGGCCCTCTTGCTCCCTCTCCTGGCCGCCCTGGTGATGTGCAGCTATGCCTTGTCGGCTTTCTTAGTTGTGACCTATCTCAGAACTCTGGCATGCTTAGCAGGAAGACATTTGTGCTCCTGGACCAAATGAAAATTTCCCCTTTCTAGTGTCTGAAGGACAGAAGGGACTTCCGATCCCCTCAAACATGAGTGACAGCCAGATTCAGAAGTCTCACGATGGAAGGATGGAACCAACTCCTGCAAACTGCCTTCTGACTGCCGTGTGTGTCCTGATACATGTGTCCACACACTTGCATACATAAACAGATAAACCAGACAAAAATTGAGAATTAAGGGTGGGGCTCCTGGAGGAGAAAGGGCGTTAATGTCTCCTGCATGTTATTTCCCTGCCTTTTCCATATGTACTCTGTTGTGAGTTCTCTACAAGCGGAGCCGTCTCAGCAAACTGAAGTGTCCATCTGCTGATTGTTACAGGCCGCTCCGCTTGTTGGAAAATGCCGGTCTCAGGCTGGACCTGCAAGGAAGCCTGGGACAAGACCTGGAAAGAGGGAAACACGCCATTCCTCTGCCAGAGTGATCTGCGTGGTGCGGACGTCCCGGCGTGGGGCTCTCCCACCGTATGGACAAATACACAACAACTGGTCCTGGAGTCACACGCGTGCCTCTCCTCTCCACCAGCTCTCCTCTCGATTGAATCCAGTTATTCCCCTGCCGCAGCTTCCCTGTCTCCAGGTCCAGCCCATCTGCGCAGGTGTTTCGCTTCCCTTGTGATTCTGACTTCGACTTTCTATAAAGAGTGAAAAGACACAGTTTCGCGGAACTGCGGTGAGCAGTTTGGGTTTATTTGTGCTTGTGTGCATGCGGAGGGATAGTCTGGGGGCAGGAGGAACGACCCGCTTCAGTGACGTCATCGAACCTGAAAGCGAAGGGAAACCGTGCGGCGGCTGAGCGGCTTAGCGAGCGGCGCGTGGGAGAGCGCCCCCTGCTGGCTCCTCTTATCCACACCCGAGGAAGCAGCCAAGGCAACGGTCAGTTGGCTCCAATAGACACAAGAGGTCCTTTCTTAACAAAAACTGACCCGGTGCCGAATATCACCATTCTCTGTATTATATTACTACAAAAAAGATCAAGTCTCCAGCTTCAGTCTTCTTTGGGCAGTGAGCAGCTGTAAGGAGCACGGAAAAGAATGGGGTTTTGTGCCTCCTGCCTGCGGTGAGGTCACACCTCCTGACATCACCCCTTATCCACGCTGTGGGACAGACCCCGGAGGAACTCAGGGCAGAGGGGGCGAAGGGGTGGCTGCAAAGGGAAGTCTCTTGTCTGACTGAGTAAATAAATTCTTCTTAAATATCATATCCCATCTGATTTTCACATGCTAAAATAGACCCCTTGCTATGGCGCATACTGGCAGCTCTTCCATATAGTTAAGTAGAAATTGCAGATGCGTTTTAAGAATTATCAGACAATTCTAATATTGCAGAATGATAGCCAGTAATGCCTTTTCATTGATGTGTGTGGGTGTTGGTGGAACTTGGGAAGTTGAACCGTAGTATGCATAGTTTGGGTTTTGAAATTATTTAACCAAGATTTGGGAGATTGGAACATATATAAATATTATGTATGATATGCAAGTTCTTTATGTATATCATAAAGAACTTTATGTATATTAGGTCTTCTAATAGGTACTTTATGTATATTATGTGTATTAGTTCTAATATACAACTTCTTTATGTGTATTAAGTTTTCTTAAGTTCTGCTGTAAAAGTTAAATATACACGTGTATTATCTACAATACTTAAGAAGTAAATTTGAATGGTACATATGTTGCTGTTAGAAGGGTTCAGAAGCATCTATGTATCATATCTAATGCATATATGTTATATATTTATGTGTTGGTTAGTTTTTATCAACTTGACACAGCCGAGAGTTACCTGGGAAGAGGCAACCTCAACTGAGGGATTGGCTTCCATCAGACTACCCTGTGGGCATGTCTGTCAAGCATTTTCTTAATTGCTAAATTATGTAGCAGGGCTCAGACTACCATGGGCAGTGCCATCCCTAGAAAAGTGGGCCTGAGATATATAAAAAATGTAGTTAAATGTGAGCCTGGGAGCAAACCGGTGAGCAGCATTCCTCTGTGGCAATAGCCTCTGCTTCAGTTCCTGCCTCCATATTCCTGCCTTGAGTTCCTGCCTTAGTTTCCCTCAGTGATGGTCTGTAATTAAACCAAAGAAACCCTTCCTTCCTCCAAATTGCTCTTGGTCTGTGTTTCATCACAGTCACAGAGAAGTAAATTAGAATAGTTTACATAGAATAGTATCTTTTACATCACTCCTTGAATGGAGGATCATAATATTTGAAAGGTATAACAGAACATAATATATTCACACAACTTGTGTATATATGCACATACATACATATGAAATATACATGTAGATATAATCTTACTGACTTTTGGCTCCAGTTTACATTTCCAATGTGAAAAGTTTTTCCTAGCGGGTTCTGTATCGTCACATTGACCCACACATCTCTGTAATCCTATCACTCACAATCCTCAGAAGTTCAACTGAAGTACAGGAAAAGCTGGAGTGGCAGCCTGTGCACTGCACCTCCTCCTGGCACAGGTTCTGCTCTGGTTCTGGAGTTTACCCACCTCGCTCACACGCCATCAGCTAAGAAAGAAGGTGAGGAGAGACTTGGGCCTTTGTCACGGAGTGCTGTGACAGATGATGACAGCTGCATGTGACCCTGGTCACAGCTAGCTCTTCTCCATGTGGTAACACCCTGTGCCAATTGGCAAGGCCACAAACCAGACTTGACAGGCACAGAAAAATAGATGGCAGAGTTGCAGCACTGACTCTTATCTATACACAACACACACACACACACACACACACACACACACACACACACACACACACACGAGCTCACTGCATTGTGCTTTGTACTTTGAAATTTGAGTTCATCTAGGGGCGGACTATACCAGGTGCTTGCTACACATTTGCTCAGTAAGTGAAAGGGAGTTAAAGAGCCAGAAGCATGTAGGAACTTGAAACTTAAAAGTGGGCAAGTTCAGTTGCATGTGGTAGCCTGCACCTTCAGTCCCACTGCTCAGGGGGAAGGTGGAGGCAGATGGATCTCTGAGAGTTGGAGGCCAGTCTTACTTACATAGCCAAGTTCAAGGCTAGCCAAGGCTACAGACGAGAGAGAGAGAGAGAGAGAGAGAGAGAGAGAGAGAGAGAGAGAGAGAGAGAGAGACTTGGCAAACTTAGATATAGTGGGTATTAAATCATGGCCTGCCCCCATGAGATGCTGGTCACTCTCAGAGAATAGATCTCACAGCATGAAGAAATTAGGCATTGCTCCCCTGCAGTTCTCTCTTGGACAGAGCGCTAAGAATCCATCTTTGTTGTGTCTAAGGGTGACTAATTTGGGAACCTGGCTCCTCCATGAGCTTTGTCATGTATGCTCGTTGGATAAACTAGCACAGCATGAAAAGTTTCAAACATCCGCTGAAAGGACATAAAATTCAGACATTTTCCTTTGTGGGGGGATTTCTCTGGAGGATCCTCTAGGCTTCCCTCTCCCTTCTGTCCTCCACCCTCTCACCACCCCTCCCCCATCATTCTTCTCATTATCTCTCTTCTTCTTACTATTATACTTTAAGTGATCCCTCTCAATGAAACTCTCCCCTTCCCCTTAAGCCTCCATCATGCTTGTATCTGACATATAATATAATATAATATAATATAATATAATATAATATAATATAATATAATATAATATAATATAATATAATATAATATAATATAATATTGTTACTTCCCAATGCTCTCCCATGTCGATGCCTGGTCATGGTCTTTGGGCCCTTCCTAATAAGCCCCACCACCGAAGGACAATTACATATTAGATCCTCTCCCAGACCAGCCAACGGCCATTCCACTCCCGTTTCTGTATCTAACACTGGGTTCTAGTCCAAACAATGACTAGAAGATGCCAAGCTTGTTACATAATCTCTGCTGGCTGGGTAGGGTGGGACTCTCCTAGCCTTTTCTGTGAAGACGGTGGTAGGCTGAGAGACTATGGCCCTCTACTTCCAGCTGGAGGATCAGGTAGTCCGACTGGCACGGTGACTGGCTGGGTCATTGGAAGCGGGGATATTAGGGAGCACATCTGGGCTAAGATACAAAGACCTGAGCCGGGTGGTGGTGGTGCACGCCTTTAATCCTGGCAGAGCTGGGCGGATCTCTGTGAGTTTGAGGCCAGCCTGGTCTACACAGAGAGATCCAGGACAGGCACCAAAACTACACAGAGAAACCTGTCTCAAAAAACCAAAACAACAACAACAAAAACCCAAAACCAAATCAAACCAAAAAAAAAAAAAAGATACAAGACCTGGAAGAGAGTCTAGAACTGAGCTTCCACACTGGCGATGATGTGCTACCTTCAAAGAGGGAGGCTTTTCCAAAGTAATGCTCAAAGTGGGACCCATCACTTGTTCTCTCCTCATTGACAAGCCTATGACAAATTAAGAAAAGAGAAAGAAAACTGACACCTCACAAAATGGCAATAAAATGATTGTTAGGAAGGTCTAAGATTTTTTAAAACTTTGGTTTTGGTTCTTTTGAGACAGGGTTTCACTATGAAGCACAAGGTGTCTGTAATTCAAAATTCTCCTGCATCAGCTTCCCTAGTGCTGGGATTACACGAGCATGTTCACCATGCTCATCGGAAGTACTGTTGCTATTGAGTTCTAGAAGGTGTAGGTAAGTGGACAGCGGGCATTGCAGAAACAGTAGTGTAAGCTTAAGCGTCTCATAAGAAAGGATTTGTGTGCGGATTATAGATTGTAGATACCTTGGGAGTTTTAAAACTTGACATTGACAATGAATTAGAGCGTTTTCCCTGATGACATTATAATTTAAAGAATATCTTGATCACATTGAATGTTGAATATACTATACCTTGTGTTATAGTTAGTATTTTTTCAACTCGACACAAGTCAAAGTCGTCTTGGAAGAGGGACCCTCAGTTGAGAAAATGCCTCCATCAGATTAACCTGTAGGCAAGTCTGTGCAGGATTTTCTTGATTAATGGTTGATGTGGGAGGGACTGGTCCACTGTGGGCAGTGCCACAGTTATACAAGAAAACAAACTGAGGGGGCCAGAGATATGGCTTGCTGCTCTTGCAGAGGACCTGGGTTTCATTCCCGGTGATGATGTGTCAGCTCATAACTGTCTGTAACGCCAGTTCCAGGGTTCTGATGCCCTCTTCTGACCTCTGAAAGCACCAGGTATACATACAGGCAAAACACTTACCCTTAAAATAAAAGTAAATCTTTTAAGGAAGGAAGGAGGGAAAGAATGAAGGAAGGAAGGAAGAAAGGAAGGAAGGAAGGAAGGAAGGAAGGAAGGAAGGAAGGAAGCAGAACAAGACATAGTTACTGCCTCCAGGTTCCTGCCCTGACTTCCCCTTCATAATGGTGTGTCCTGAAAGATGAAATACACCATTTTCTTCTTAAATTGGTTTTAGTCAGTGTTTTATAATCAAATTGGGACACTTGATTAAAAAGATAAAGCAGATGAGTCATTAATGATTACAATGTACCATTTAAGCCCCCTTGCCCACATCACCAAAACAGTTGAGTAGTTCTTGGCTGATATAAATAAAAAAAAATAAGCTTCTGCTTTAATGGCAACAGATCTGAGGGCACAGACCAGTAAAGAGTTGGGCAGGCTTTTATTGATCCATGCTAGCACGGGGACTGTGAGCACTGAGAAAACAAAACCAGGTATCCAAGGAGCTTCATCCATTCTCTTTGACAGTGATTGTTGCCTGAACTGGTTCCTCTGGTTATGTCCATTGCAAACAGATGGAAACATGGGCAGGACAGCTGCAGTCCACAAGGCACCATTAAACAGCACACGTTTGCAGCTACATCCATCCTAGGAGGAGGGGGAAGTGGCCAGGTTAGGAGAAGAGCACACAAAGAGAAAATGCTGGAGGATGGGTATGCATGGAGCTAAT